GCAGAAGAAACTTCTTTCAAAAACATGAAAAATGGTACTGATACCAAACATGGTATTACCAAGGTATCATCTCTCTAAAAAAAAAGCATGGTCATTTAAATATTATAGATTTTTTTTTTTTTTTTTTTTTTTAAAGATGTATAGTTGTTAAAAGGCTGTTTTCTCTTTGTTCAAGGTATAAAATAATATATAAATAAAGAATAGCACTTTATGACTAATAATATTATTATATTAAATTATGTTATTTATAATATTATTATATTACAGTAAAATATTTCTGCAATATATAAAAGGGGTAACTGTAGCCTAATTATGATCTTTATTTTTAGCAGGCATATTTTAAAAAAACATCTGTACGTTTAGAGTCCTAGCAGAGAGTAATTGCCAACTTCAAATTGTAATGCAACTAATTTTGAAGTCATCAGTCTGTGATTGGGGGGGGAAATATCATTTTAATTAAGTATTTAACCTTTTTTTTTTTTTTTTTTTTTAAGTTCCAGATCAGCACCAGGTCAAAAGAAAGCACAATGCCCTATCGTTTTTCAGACATAATTTTGTTGACTTGTATATTTAAAATTTCTTATTATGTGTGTGTGAAAAACTTGCTTATTCTGATTTTTTCTTTTTCTTTCTCAGTTCAGAAAGGTTACAGGTGAACCACTGCCAGGTAATGCTCAACAACACAGATCAGACACTGAAGCAGAGGACGCCGTAGTTATTCCATCCAAACAATAACAGCTAGGCCTATCAAGAGAATTTGACATTTAGAGCTGAAATGAGCTGTTCATCTCAGCAAATAAAGAGAGAGAGAGAGAGAGAGAGAGAGAGAGAGAGATAGATAGATAGATAGATAGATAGATAGCATACGAGGTCAAGATCTTCTATGACTTTCTTTCTTCAGCAGAAAATAAAAAATATATTGCAGTGGTCTTGACCTTGACTTACCCAACTATTAAAAACATATGTCATATTTTTGGCATAACAGAAAGAAGAAAAGTAAACATCGTTACACTTGTGTTCATTTTTTACACAAAATAAGGCGTTGCTTGCATTTTTAAACATAGCCTAGATTTGTTCAAAAAGAAAAAAGAAAAAAAAACACATGTTGGGTCATTTAACCCATCCACGTTTAGTCAATCAACTTTTTTTACCCAAGTCATATTGGCAACCCAGCGCTGGGTCAGTGTGTGAAAAGTGATTTATTAAGCAAATTAAGCGTTTATTAAACAATCAGACTGGTGTATGGACCAGTCCCCTTTTCAGTGCAACAATTAATATTTTGATGGATCATAATCTCATGCAATCTGTAACAAAATAATGTGATTTATTATTTGATATTATTGGAAAGCTATTGTTAAGCTGTAATGCGCCTGTGGCAAATTCACATGTTACGCAGATGTCCCTTTTAAAAGTGCTGGGTGGCGAATGGTATCAACCAAACCCGACTAATCATAGCAGCGCTGTATATTTTATTGTTCAGCTGGTGCTCTTGTGTAGGCCTGTTGCTCTCATAACGTTATGATGGATGGGTTGCGCACTCGCCAATCCTTTGAGCAGCTCAACGTGATACTCGCTTGTTGAGCACAAAGGCTCGTGGATATTTGCATCAAAACCCACTCTATCATCTCCTGTCTCTCTTTTCCACCTACATATACACTTATTAGACACAATAACGGTTTGACCTAGCTCATGTCAAATGTCATGCAAGGTTCAAAGTAAGTAAGAACAAATAATTGTGAATATAATCAAAACGACTAAAGCTTCAGACATCTATACGCAATGGCGGCACAGAAACCAAATCTGAAGCGGGCATAGAACCACGAAAATGTGCATTAAGAAGCAAGAAGAAAGGATACAAAAAACTTGAACTTATAAAAGCAAGCATAGATAATTCCTGATTTATTAGATTTTTATAAAATGCTATTCTATTCTATTCTATTCTATTAATTAATAATAAACGTGGCTCTAATTTTAAAAAATTTAAATTGTCATCGTGAGTAGGCTATATTAATACTAATGCATAATGTAATTATTTTTTGAAAATCTTTTCATCTTACACTACGTTATGTGTAATGTGTGTAATATAAACTGTAGGCTATAGCTACAATGCTACATCAAACCAGCATCAAACGTGTAGCCTAGTATATCGCCTATACAAAAAAAAACTTTAGAAATTGTTGTGAAAAACTGTCCTTTTTAATATTTCAATGACAAAAATCACAAACATATTTCAGATAACGGTAAAAGTAAAAAAATAAAAATAATAATAATAATAATAATAATTCTCACCTGGTGTGGACCGTTCAGAAATGTGTGTTTTTTGTTTTGTTTTGTTTTTAGCTCAAAACACATTTTTGTATGCAATAGTGCAAAATCAAAAAAATCTAAATAGATTTAGCTGTAACATGCTATGGTAATGCATTTATTAGGCTGCTGGCTGATATGATGCAGGTGGAGGCAGAGATGGAGAGACATGTCAAAAGCATAATACAATGAGACCCACCGCCACGTGTCAGTGACCGACTTAATCAACTAAACTCCAGGGCTAATAAAAGCCACAGAGCCCTCACATGAGAACAGTTCCGAGGACATCAGAGAGACTTTGCGAGAGTGATGGAGTACAGCTACCTAACGTCTACTGCATACGAGTCTGTGATGGACACTGGCCGAGCTTCTAGCCGCTCCACGGAGTTCAGCTCCTGCAGTCAGCCCTTCAGATTTCAATATAACAGGTGCAATCTGGGAAACACAACCAGTTGCCATTTCCTTGCGCCTGGATCTCACCAACCCTCACACTACATAACAGGTTAGTTTATGCTTTAATCCCATTTTTATTAGTATATGTATATCAAATTTATTAAGGATGTTATTATTTGCATTGGCTAAAATTTAAAACTTAAAAATTGACAGCCAACCAGTCTGCAGGGAAAAATATTTTCAAATTAATTTTTAGTGAATTTATTTTGAAAGATATTAATAGTATACTTTTGTTCAGCAAGGATGAATTTAATTGATAAAAAATCACTTTTGATTAATTTAATGCATCCTTGTTCAGATTTTACAATTGTTTTAAAGATTAAACAATTTTTAAAATTTCAAATAAATACTGTTCTTTTGAACTTTCCGTTCATCAACGTATCATGCAGAAAGTAGCTTATATCAAGATTTCACGAAAAAAAATTTTTTCTTGAGCACCAAAACAGCATAATAAAATTATTAATTATTAAAAAGGCTCCTTATATAGCATATTAATAATTATTTAAAAAGGTGTTATTACAGAAGAAAGTGGGTCAAATGCAATTTAAGTGCATTTAAAAACAATGTAGCCTATTATATTGTTTAAAAACATGCTTTTTGCATTTTAGCTTCTTGTTGGTTGTCTTATCGCTCATTTTGAAAAGTGTAATAAATGCACAATATACCAAATTGGCGACTGATTTCTGAAAGATCATGTGGCACTGAAGACTGGCGTAATGGCGGTTGAAAATTCAGCTTTGCTATCACATGAATTACATTTTAAAATCTATTAAAATAGAAAACGGTTATTTTAAATTGTAACAATATTGCTATTTTTGCTGTATCTTTCAAATAAGAGCCTTTAAAAAAAATCTTACTGTCCCCAAACTTTTGAAGGGCGTAAACAGTTGCTGCAATATAAAACATATATATCTGTGTTTAATTAAAATTTAATTCAATTTCCAGTTCATCCTAATCTTCTGCCTTACGAACGAGGCGTCCAGGAGAGACGCAAACAAAGGCGCGTCCGCACCATCTTCACCAGCGCGCAGCTGAAAGCGCTCGAGCGCGTGTTCTCACAGACTCATTATCCAGACATCTACACCCGAGAGGAGCTCGCGCAGGAGATCCATCTTACTGAAGCTCGAGTTCAGGTATCTGAGCTTCTGCTCTGATCATTCTTCAACTGTGTATGTTCTTTTTGGGTTCTAAGATACATCAAGATCCCCTTCATAGTCATACAGGTTATTCTGCCTATTCTTATTTAAAATGTTTTCATAAATATCTAATATTGGCTAATGTGTATCTGACATTAATGTGTTCTAGCTGATTGCCCTCAACAAAAACACAAACTACACTAGGCTACTTAAATGTAACAAATCCTGAACCTTTCCCGAAAAAGTTATGTTATATAAAATTTATATTGTTCATATATTGCCAAAATTATTGGGACTCTGTGTATAAGGCAAGATTAAAAAAGAAATGATTGATTTGACTGGTCTACATAAAACCAAGTCCTAATCCCAGTTGAACACATTTGGTGTGACATTAAATGCAGACCTTGAGACAAAAACACATCACCAAACACCAGTGACTTGTACATATGGTCATTTTAGACACTTCCAAAACTATTGCAACAAAGATGGAAACATAATTCATGTTTTTAAACATTAAACATTGTACTCATGGAAATGAATAAAGTTGTCAAACCTGTTCATTAGAAGGGGGTGTCCCAATACTTTTGGCAAAATAATGTATCTGTCGGACAATTGGAATTAATTAGGTCAGGTATTTATTCATTAAATGGGTTTATTTTATTTTATTTTATTTAGGTCTGGTTCCAGAACAGACGTGCTAAATTTCGCAAACAGGAGCGTGCAGCTACATGGACCGAGTCATCTTGCGAAGTGAACAGTTCACCTTCCCATGACAGCTCCAAAACGCTGACAGTCCCTGACCCAGACAGCACACAACCCACTCTTACCCTAAACCCAGACCACAAACAGGACACCAGCAGTCACAGAGACGACCAGGCTCCAGACCAACTTCCCTTGTTAGGGGTCTGTTCTCTTGAAACACAGAGGTCAAGAGGTCACCAAACTCACTGTGCAACGACTGCCTGCATGTGTTGAGCATTGAAAGACATGATGTGCCAGTTCAAACATCAGAACCCACTGTCTAGATCTCTATAGTGCCATTTGATTACCTCATTTATGTTATTTTTCTGATCTCATGCAAATAGGAAATTAATAATGCATTGGTCTATTCATTGACAACTAAAACCGATAATGCTTAGGGAATTTTTGTTTACATTTTGTACAAGTATGGGAGAGATACTTGACATATCTTTTTTAATGATTTTATTAAAATGCAAATAAAGAAAGTGGATAGAAAAAGTGTCATATAATCAGTCAACATATGTAATCTTTTACTGCTTTTTGTTCTGGACGAGATGTTTGCTCCAGTTATTTATAATAACAAATATTTAGATTTACAACTAACATTAACATAAAATGCACACAGAGCAATGAAATTACATTGGAAAAAAATAGTGCATTTAAAATAGTTTATTACAGTTTATTTAAAAACATACACTTGCTATAAAAGCCATTGCATTTCAGCGTCTTGTAGGTTGTCTTATATCACTAATTTTTAAAAGGGTATAATAAATACAGAATATGAAGTTATTTGTCACACACATCTCACTCATCCTTGGCTACTCTTTCCAGTAATTACTGCCTTACTTCTGTTTCAGTTCATATTCTTACAATGTCAAGAAAATAAAACAAACGATATACAAGCAACAATCAAAACCCCCCGCATCTAAATGACAATGTCTTTTAATCTCAAATATTAACAGAAAGCGTAAGCAGAAGTTAAAAAAGCAGGAATTATATGCTAGTGTTGCTGAATACAATCTGCCCTCGTTGTTGAATTTGATATTTTGGTGACATTTAGGATTGCAATCCTTTCCAGTTGATTTAGATCAATATAGATATATTTAACAATTTTACATCTCTAAATGCACATGAAATGAGTGAAAAGCTTACAGAGGGTGTTAGTTTCATTTTTTAAATCTCTTGTTTGCACATTCATAGTGTTTGAATAAAGTACAAGGGTAAAAGCAGAGTGCTCAGTGCATATGCATAATACTCTCATCAATACACATTGGTAACTTGAAGCTTTGGATGCAAAGGTGGCCGACACTAGACGTTATCTAGGAGCGCATTTCTAAGGCACAACATTACAGAAGAGAGAAAGGCAACAGAACACATAAAACTGAAAAAAGGGTTACACTTTACATTACAGAGTGTTTATAAGTTATTACATAATATACTTCTGATTATGTGGAGCTGCTTTGCACAGTTAATGTTATTACTTTAGTCATTCATTTTAGTAGTGTGTAATGTATGTGTAACATGGACATTGTAATGTAAAGCGTAATCAAGGAAAGTTTCGGGGATCATGCAATCTTCTTACTATTCAACTGCAGAGCAAAACGTAAATATTAATAACAAATTTTGAAAAATAATCGAATGGAAATGTAAGATCTACCCATTAGCAACATGCTGTTAAACAATACTGCACAAATAAAGTATCAAACCCCTCACTGATCAAACAAGATAAAACAGGCAATGAGAAATGGAGGAAGGAACAGAACATTTCAATCAAAACCACTCCAGTTCATGAAGACGTGTTTTCAAAACATAAATGAAGAAAGTGATGGACAATCTTAGCTGTATTTATTTCATGTTGTCAGTTAAGGCATCAGGACGAATCAGCTAGGCCTAAGAGTCGCACATTATGCGTTCGTCTGTTAGTGGAACATTTAAAAAATAATGTGACACCTGCAAGACCTTTACAAAAACTGAGATTATTATTAATGCAAAATTTTCTTAAATGAAAACTGGACTTTTGTGCTACCTCATGTTCCTCACAATGGAAATGGATTCAGTCTCACTCTACATTACAGTGCCCATGTTACAATGGATTTACGCAAGTACTTGAGTAATACTCATGAACAACTGTAGTCAATATGTGGAAATTTATAATTCCATGTCATTGGTGTTAGGCCCAAAACATACTCTAAACAAGTATGTGAATGTAGATGATTCTAGCTATGCACCCTCAGTAGTGAGTATACTAAACTATGACGTCAATTACACTTATAAGAGGCATCAAAAATGTCACTGGCAAAAACGTGAAAATGTCATATCTGCCATTTATAAATTGCTTAAGTACCGTAACCACCAGAGTCAATATGTGATATTCTTGATGTTGAAAAAATTTCAAAAGTCATATTCACGCTGGCTTTACTGTTCACAGATAACGAACAGTGAAAGAGTGCAAGGTAAGTAGCTAAACATTTCATATTTGAAACTTTTTTTATAACATAAAAATGTTAAACAACCAACAGTAATATCCAGTTTTTTTTTTTTTTGCCATTTCGAATTATGTTGCCATTTTTCACATAGGCATGAATAAGAGTGAATGGTGGCAAATTTTAAAATAAAAATATTTGCAAACTACGGAGCCCCGCACATGGCATGCAGGAAAAAAATAGTACGCACGATTTACTATTTCGTTCCCTCAATTTATAAATTGTGTGCACGATTTATTAATTCGTTCCCTCGATTTGCTAAATTGTGCACACGATTTATAAATCGAGGGAACGAAATAGTAATCGTGTGCACGTTTTAGTTCATCGAGGGAACGAATTAGTCAAATGTGCGCACCCTAGGGCTTTTTTTTTGCCATTTCGAATTATGTTGCCATTTTTCACATAGGCATGAATAAGAGTGAATGGTGGCAAATTTTAAAATAAAAATATTTGCAAACTACGGAGCCCCGCACATGGCATGCAGGAAAAAAATAGTACGCACGATTTACTATTTCGTTCCCTCGATTTATAAATTGTGTGCACGATTTATTAATTCATTCCCTCGATTTGCTAAATTGTGCACACGATTTATAACTCAAGAGAACGAATTAGTAAATTGTGCACACGATTTAGCAAATCGAGGGAACGAAATAATAATCGTGTGCACGTTTTAGTTCATCGAGGGAACGAATTAGTCAAATGTGCGCACCCTAGGGCTCCGCATGGGGCTCGGTAGCAAACAGTTCAAATAGATAACTACAAAAAATTATTTTTCTTATTACGCTATTCTTTTTTCTTCTTTTTTTTTTTTACAAAAAATATTATTTTTCTTATTTCTTTCATGTTTTTAAAGAATTCTTTAATTCTTTAATTCCTACGAATTAGTCAAATGTGCGCACCCTAGGGCTCCGCATGGGGCTCGGTAGCAAACAGTTCAAATAGATAACTACAAAAAATTATTTTTCTTATTACGCTATTCTTTTTTCTTCTTTTTTTTTCCAAAAAATGGTCCCCCCAATGTTTAAGACATGTTTACAGCCTTGAGTTGCTTATTTAGTCAGAATACAATGCTACTTTTGAATGGCCGTCAATGGCAAAAGATGCTTTTTGCTCCCAGAATGTTGTAGTTAGCCTTGACCCTTTGGCTTCTACAAATCAGTTTTCTCTCTTAGGCAAACTACTGTCATGAGGCAACCGTTTTAAGAGAATCTTGATTTTAGATTTTTATATCGTTTATACTCTCAAAAAATAATTAGCACCTTTAAGGTACATATTAGGTATGCATTAGTACATTTTGAAAAGGTACTGCCCCACTGACAAGTGTTGTGAGAGTGTCAACAGCTACCTAGATATTATTTGGGTTAATGGCACAGGCATTTGACTGATCTCTATCTCAGCCTTTAGAACTGAGTTTTGATATTGACACATTAATCTGCATTTGTGTAAAGTATGTTTCTGGCCTTATTGCTGTTGAGATGTGTGTAACATGGCCACTGTGAGGTAAAGTGCTACCGTTACTTCTCATTCTAAAGTGTTAAACTAACAGTATGAACAGACTCGCTGTAGTCTCTGTAATCGCAGTAATATCTTATGGACTTTTTATCATGTAAGCGATAAAGTCGTTTTTCAACGAGCACAATGACAGTCAAAGAAAGTCCAGAGGAAAACCCATCATGTGTCCATGATTCCAGTTTTGACTTTAATGGCTATGCTTGATTGTGCTGTAAGGAAAACATTGTATAAATGTAAAATCCGTTCTTCTTGGGTATGGTCCTGGGTCGGTTTAACCTGATAACTTCCATTTCTTTGTCAGAAGTGCAGAGGCATCACAATGTTGTTGGCTGGCCAGCAGCTGCAAGGAAGGAGCACATTAAAAATGTCCTGAAAATATGTTTAGGATTGTTTTACCCTTGTACTAGACCCATATTTTCAATCTTAAAGTAAGAAAAAAAAATCAATCATAAAAATAATAAAAAACCATGATAAATGTTTACTTTAAAATATATTTTATGGTAAATTATTACTGACTGATATGAAATATGTCACATGTGATGTGTGAAGAAAAATAAAAATTATATTTTTATATTATATTTCTAAATGTTCTTTTGTCAAATGATGTAAAAAAAAATTCAAAATCGTATTAAATTGTAATTACATTACAAAAAATACATTTATAATAACAGATGTAATTGTGTGTATTTAGGATAAATAAAATGCTAGCAATAAAATCAGACTAAGCAAGGCAAAGGCGTTATTCTGTAAAACAATGTTATTTCCACCACAGAATGTTATTAATCACAGTACAAAATTTGAAATGTGGTGAAGACTTGACAGAAAACTCTCATTTGATTTACGTATATCAACAAATGAACTAGTGATTTTGTTAAAAGTGTTTTAAGAGTTCATTTTCTAAATGTCAACAGGCCCCATAGTTGAAGAAATTACTAAAATAATTTAAAGCTAATGTCATTAAGATTTTCCTGTTTATGATACAAAATACAGAAAAAAAGGGAATTACAGTAACCTGCACATTTAGGATCATGTTTAAGATACAATTAAAACACATTAAGCCTCACCTCTTGATTTTATGTAGCATTCTTGACAATTAAGAAGTCCATTTCGAATTCTGACGTCAGTTCCAGCACTTGTGTCTCCAAGTAACCCTTTACATATGCCACACTAGAACACATCAGATAATGATTTAAGAGGATGCACAAGTTTCTTACGCACACACAGAGACAAAAGTATCTGAGTTTTACCTTAAAACACTGAATATGGAAGTACAACCCCAAGCTTTCAATGATCATAGCTGCTCCTTTACCCAACGGATGTGCACAACTGGAGCAAAGCTTCTTTCCACTTACTGACCTGCAGAGGGTGCCATACAAAGCCATATATTAAAGGGTTAGTTCACCCAAAAATGAAAATTAGTCCATAAATTACTCACCCTCAAGTCATCCT